CTGGGGAATTGGGGGAAGGGGAACAGACAAGTTGCTGCCCTTTTGTTCTTCAGTCTAGTTGTGCAGGACGTTGCTTCACTGGCCCAAGTTGGTACCATCATTGAGCTCTTCCCGGGTGAGGTACATCAGTCGCCGGTTTCTGGACGGCTGCTCACGCTGGCTGCTGGCTACACATGGTAGCCCATGGCAATGCACTGCCAAAGTGGCTGCAGCCTAGGCCATCGCCGGCGACTCACGGCAGCCCAGCTCCAGGTTGAGCTGCCTTCAGCATCTTAGCTGTGGAGGGCAGCGTCACTGGCCCTCATATGTGGGATCCGAACCAGGGCCCTCTGGTGTCCCAAGCCAGCTCTTAACCATCGCGCCACTCGGCCGGCCCCAACTACACAACTTTTTGAAAGCAAATCTTTTTCTATGAAGTGCCAACAGCAAAAGCAAGCACTTGTTTGGCCCCCTTTTCATGACCAGTCCTTTATGAAACAAAACACAACCAAAACCTCTGAGGCTGATCTGGATAAAGTCCTATAGAAGGACACATCTCTCGGTAAGGCTCTGTAAACACCTACCCATAGACATGTACATGGAAGCTTAGCCAGTGCGGTTCCTGAAGTTCTCTCCACAGATTCAGGTCAAGGGGCTCATGAGTCCACAGGCAATGTCTGAATAGTCTCCCAGGTGTGGACATAAGTAGGAAATTCAGGCTCTTCCCTAATTCCTGATCTTAAGGGAAAAGCATTCAGTTTTTCACCATTAATTAAATATGACACTTGAGATAGGTTTTTTTGTACAGGCCCTTTGTGAAGTCAAGAAAATTTCCTTTGATTACTAATTTGCTGGGAATATTGTTATCAGGTGTGAATGCTGGATTTGTCAAATGCATTTTCTGTACCTATTAAAATTACTGTCATTAACTGATCATCTGCTGCTTGTCAATTTCTTTGGCTGCATTATTAATAAATTGTCACAACAAAATATTAAAGAAATCACTCTCCCATTTAATAATGAAACAAAGCCCACAAGTGTCTAGAAAGCACATGGCAGAGCTAATGGTTTTGAACGCAATTCTCTCAGAGAGCAAAAACTTGTTCCCTGGATTTTTCACTATAGGTTATTTTCAGAGATAATTTGAGAGAAAGACTAGAGGGTAGCAAAATTATTTCTAGAGCCTTTGAAATATCTTTAGACAGTTTGTTAGCAGGTTTTTTATTTTTGCAAATAGCACTAATAAAATAATTAAATAATTGTGTAGCTGAAAAGCAGGTTCCTGGTCTCATCACAGGAAATAATTTAAGTACACACCAATAAGCTAAGCAAGCAGAGGCCTTATTGATAGAAAATAAGATAGTACACTCCTTATTGTGAGAGGGAGCAATCCAGAGGAAGTGCAACTGCCCTTCTTAGGAATTTATTACTTTCAAAAGGAGGGCAAGAAATATTCAAAATTTAGTGGTGGCATTATGGGTGTCCCTAGGCTGGTCCTTACTGAACTTTCCTCCCTGGCAGGAGGAGGAACTCTCTTGTCATTATTTGGCTCTACTAGAAACTTTCATGGCAGTACTGGGGGTAAAGCTTTTCCCTGCTTGTAGTGCTAATAATAGTATGATCTATTATAATTAGCTAAAGTTCACAGTGAGGGGCAAGATGGCGCCCTGGGTCTGTTCTCAGCCACTGAATCTAGTTCTGGCTCATCTGGTAGCTGCACTTTTTCTTAAGGATGATCTCATCTCCTCCCTCTTTTGTCTTCCCTTACTTTCCCCTTCCCTTCCTCCCACTTCTCTCCCTGCAGCCCTATGCTTTCTGCCTAAGGTAACATGTGCAGGTTTGGTTCTTTCACCAAAGAGGAAAGAAAGCATATTACACAGGATGCAAAAACTTCAGTTCAAGAGCTGACAACTAGTTAGAGGCTTGACCATTCCTTTCAGAACAATTGTTAGTCAAGATTTGAGCAATGCATTGTAGCAAGATAGACAAACTTTTCTAGGCTCTGAGAATCACCAGGAACCTGATAATTCATACATGACTGGTGATCACTCTTTCAATGATCCTTGAACTGAGCTTGTGATAAAGCAGTCTAGAGAGTAGTTCTTCACATTAATCATTACAAAGTTTCTCAAAACTTTTAAAATAGAATTGTCATGTGTACCAACAATTCTACTTCTGATTATATACTCAAAAAAAATTGAAAGAAGCTGTGTATATACCTAAAATATTGATATATTTATGTACATGTTTCTACTGAAAGGTGGAGGCAACCCAGATGTCCAAAACACCTGAATGGATAAACATAGCATGATCTACATGTACACTGGAATGTTATTCAACCTTAAAAGGGAAAGAAATTCTGACACACATTAACACGTGGGTGAAACTTGATGACATTATGCTAGGTGAATGCACCACAATATAACCAATATTGCATGACTCCACTTACATGTGATATCTAAAGTAGTCAGACTAGAAAGAGAAAGTGGAATGATAGTTGCCAGGAGCTACAGAGACAACAAAATGGGGAGTTATTGTTTAATGAATTCAAATTTTCAGTTTTTCAATGAAAAAAGATATAGAGATAGATGGTGAACAACAATGTAAATGGACTTAATACCAGTGAATTATAAACTTAAAAAGTGCTAAAATTGTAAAAATTTATGTTGAAATGGTAAAATTTCAAAAACTGAAAACATTTTTAAAAGACACGCATTTTCAGGGCCGGCCGAGTGGCNATACCACCTCACACCTTTTAGACAGCTATTATCAACAAGACAAGAAATAACAAGTGTTCGACAGGCTGTGGCAAAAAAGGAACCCTCATACACTGCTAGTTGAAATGTAAATTAGCACAGCCACTATGGAAAACAGTATGGAGTTTCCTCAAATATTTAGGAGCAGAATTATCATATGACCCAGCAATCCCTCTTCTGGTTATCTACTCAAAATCTGAAAACATTTATCAGTAAAGATGTATGTACGCCTACATTCACTGCAGCATTATTCACGGTTGCCAAGACATGGGAACAACCAAAGTGTCCTTCTATAGATGATTGGATAAAGAAGATGTGGTACATATATACAATGGAATATTACTGAGTTAGAAGAACAAAGATGAAATACTGCCATTTGTGACAACATGGAAGGAACTTGAGATTATCACACTAAACCAAATAAGTCAGACAAAAAAGTCGGGAACCATATGATTTCACTCATGTGTGGGATACAAACTAAAAGCAACAGACAAACGAAAGAAACAAACAAAAACTCATAAGCACTGACAACAGTTTAGTGGTCACCAGAGGATAAGGGGCAAGGGTAGGAGAACAGGGTAAAGGGGTCAAATATACGGTGATGGAAAGAGAACTGACTCTGGGAGGTGATCATATAATGCAATATATAGATGATGATTTATAGAATTGTACACTTAAAACCTATATAATTTTACTAACCAATGTCATCCCAAAAAAATTAATAAAATTTTCCAAAAAAGAAATTAGGAATCAAACCTTTTATATAAAATATCTTCAACATTTTAACAATTTATTATTTTTATACACATGTTTTAGTGCATTATTTCCTAGATAGAAGTGTTCCTTTGTGTTAATACACCCGTAGGTATTCTGTGCAGAAGTCTAATTATCTTATCACATCTATTGCTGTGGTAAACATTGACAATGTGTAGGAAAGGTACTGTGTATTTGATATTATTTAATAAATCCACCAGTGGATCAAACAGTCAGAGACACTCAGCAGCCAGAGCCCTTATTATGCTCAGAGTTTGTGCTCAGCTCCCCCTGCAGTTTCTGTCACTGTGTCACTCAGAGCACAGTAGTACATAGCTGAATCTGACTCGTGGACAGAGGATTTCTCCAAGTGGAAGGAATTTGGATCTTTGTGGTATGTGGCTTCAAAACCTTTGTTGCGTCCCGTCTCACTGGCCTTCGTGGCTTTCAGGAGGAGCTGTGGACCTTCTCCAGGATACTGAATATACCAGAAAAGAACAGGGTACCTTGTGGTTTCATAGGAGCAGCTCACATTCAGGGGAGCCCCCTCTGAGAGGGTCACTTGGCCTTCCATCTGGGACACTGAGTCTCCATGGGTTCGTCCTGGGGAAAAATAAAAGAGATCTGTGTCACCTTCGACATAAAACTCTTCCATATAATTATGGTTAAAGATTTTGCTGACATAATAGAAGAAAGAATCCATATTTTAAGAGGCATGTTACTTACCAAGCACTAAGAGTACCATAGTCACTAAGGCTGGAGAAGAGTTCATCTCTAGAGTGTCACCTAAATAATGTTCTTGATTCTCAACATGAAGAAATGTGGAGGTGACAATGAAATGACAAATCGAAACCTACATTTCACACAGGAAATGCGTTTGTGTTAGGGAGTTGCATCCCCTGGTGGACAGGGACTGAAATGGGACACCTGTTTTCTAGGCTCCTCCCAAAGTCAGCAATAAGTTCTCCTCTCTACCTGTATTTACCAAGCACATGTCACTTTTCTGAACAAAGACTGTCATAACCTTTAAGGTCTGTTTTCTTCTTAGGCCACCACCTCACATGAGAGTTGTTTAACAAAGCAGAGAAAAGAACAATTTGAGCATTTTATACTCTCTTTATATTGTTATGTAACCATTGTGGGCCAGGCTATATAATACATTGAATGTCAGAAAAGATTTTGGGTTGCAAAGAGAGAAAGGGTTAAGAATTAGTCATTATTGAATGGTTCTCTGTTTTTCAGCACTGTGATCCGTCATATAGAACAGTGGTTGACATTTATTATGTGTTCACTAAATATTTCTTAAATTAAAAAATAATAATAAACAGTCTTTGATAGAGAAATCACTGCTACCTGAATATAATATTTGCTCAGTCCTAAAGTATATCAATTGTAACCCTGTTATCTTTTAAATAAAAGCTCTTTAGTAGAGTGGCCACACTATCTTATCAGTAGTCAAATATTCCTGAATTTCAGGATCATTAAAATGTGATCATATGAATGCTAGATGGAAAAAAACACCATGATTGAAGTTAATGAATTCTTATAAACTGAGAAAATAAACTGAGATCACTATCTTACCTCCCATTATGTCGTTGACTCTGAAATAAGATGGCTAGTGTATGTGAATCAGGCAGTAAGTATTAATCCTATACTGCTAATGTAGAGCTGCTTCAGGAATGGCTTCCACTGTTGTCTTTCTTCAACATTTTGTTGCCAAAGCTTAATCAATTAATTTTCTACCACAGGGCAGAAAACCGACAAAATGTGAATTTGCATCAATAGCCTGGTACATAAGTTACAACTATCTTCTTTCCCACCTTTTCATATTGTAAACAGACTAGCTGATTTTCATAGTTACCGGGAAACGACATTGTATCTCAGCCCTTTATCTCCTTGAAGAAAGAATTCAGTCAAGAGATGGTATTTTGAGCAGAAATAACAGCCAGAAATTTATTAGTAAAAGAGACTATGCTCAGAGACATGGAGCATGCTGACCCAAGAGAAGGAAGCAGCCTCGCTTTACATTGTATAAAGGCTTTTATGTATAAAGGATTTCATGATTAATTGCATGAATCACATTTATCAGAACTGAGACCCACTAATGAATAATCTTTGCAAGCTCCCTCAGGTGCAATCAGCCTGATACCAGTTTACAAGATCTCATTTATGATAACTGTCCTAAACCAAGATGGTCCTCAAAGATCAAGGAGAAAGCTCTGGGATCAGCATGAAAAATGTTCCT